TCTTTTTGTCGCCAGACTCGTTCACGTAGTCGTTGATCCAAATGGCCAGCACGTCCAATTGGCCGCAAGCGTGGGCGGTTAAAACACTGCCGAAGACGTAGAATCCAATGCCGCCGGAGTTTGAGATGAATGCCGATAGAAACTGCATCAGGAAAACTATTTCGTTGGCGGGGCTGGTTTCCACTGGAATCATCTTGTTGTAAACACTGAGGGGCAAAGTACGAAATGTTCTCGTCTCGTTACCGATATCAATGGTCTGCACAATCGATCCGCTTACTAGACAGTACGACAAGAGGCCACTGTGCACGAAGATCGCGCATATACTCGACACGTATCGGCCAAACTTCGCGCGCTCCAACATAACTTGTTGCTCGCTGTCTTTCGTCACTGTTCGCCAATCGGCTTCTATGTGTTGCACGCAGTCACCAATGCGTTTCCTTTGGAGCAGTAGATTCGTGTAACAGATCCCACCGATCAACCAATGACCCATTGGACCGAACGCTCTTATTTTCTTGTACAAGATATCATCTACGAAGATCAAGTGCGCCACACAGGGGATTATGCTGAATAGTAAACTGACGTAGCAAAGGACGATCAGAACTACGGAGACGAATTTTTCAAGCGTCGTGGTTGTGGAGAAATATGGCCAGGCACCGATCGGTTTTAGAAACCAGCGATTCAGTTGGATACTGTAGTCACTGTAGGCGTTACTTACACTGTTCGTTTCTATATTCATTGGTTGAATTGTCATCGTGAAGTGAAGTCGTAGTTTCACTCGCGAGAGTTTGCACGGCAACGCTTGCGCAAGTTTTCTTTTTTACGTAGTCGTTTATCGATCGATTCGACTAGTCGATAGAATTTTGTTTCTGGGTAATACGTAATTAAGTAGTAAACTTGGAAATTATTGGTTGCACCGTGCACACGTGCATGCAATGTGTTATATTCCCGTCTACGTTTTTCTGCCTGCTTGTGGATGAATTGTTGCAATTGTTACGTGTGCAATGCTGACAGTTGGTGCAGTCGTCAGCGCGCACACCCACATCTGCGACTTGACCCGGGCCAATAATCGTCGAATGACGTTA